TTGCCTTTCCAGACCTCAAACTTGGGTAATTAAACCCTTGTAATTACAACGATAACAACACGACTACGCGATTTGCTACGACTACGTGACCTATTGTTAACTAAGTTTAGTAGCTAAACAAATACGAACTATTGTAATTGAAACGAAATAAGAAACGAGAAACAAATTGTGACGTGCTAGAATGAACGCCCGTAGTGAACAACGTAAACAACCAATAATAACTTATGAGAACAACTCATCCCGACTGCAAGTGACGTGGCACATTTGAACAATAAACAACTATTGATGTATGCACTATAAAGTTCGCGACCGCATTAGTACGTTGGAGTGAGAGAAACAGAGACAGGCAAACAGACAGAGATAGAGACATTAGAATGTGACGTCATGTTGGGCGTTCGTGACTTCGCGGCTACCAGTCGCGACAATTCCCATAATTTATCTACTTCCTAAGATGGACTGATCGATCCGTTGCTGAATCCCTAATATTAGTGCTAGTGAAGTTAGGTTGGTGACTGTTGACAAACAGGCAATTTTTGCCATTAGTACGTAATTTCGCTGCATCTGTGACCACCGACTAGACGTCCGTCTATGCTTCAGGTACTTGTCAAAGATTTTCATCCGATTTTGCTTTTGCACACGTTCAACTGATAGCAGCATCGTGCTTCTGTGCAATGCATGACCAACTGCTCGAAACAAATTATCTAGCATGAACTATTTGAGGTGATTCCAAGTGAATTGCTGAATCAATCGCTCAACGATGATCACATTCTTGATCAATACGCTTAATGACAAGAAATGTTAGCGCGTTCCTAGTGTAACCAAGTCAAGCACCTCATTCTCAAAACATAAAATCTAAATCCCGAGAATTTGAAATATAACCCAAACAAAGTACTTAATATGCTTAATTCAAATCTTACAGGCAAAAGATTCCCACGAGCAATGGCTAAACGACAACAAAATGTTATGAGAAACCATATTCAATGAATTCCAGAATAGATGCGAGACGCAGGTATTTAAGGATGGAAGACGGAGGATCGGGGTCGCGATTCGTATTCATATTGGAGAACGTATGCTCGATATTGTCAACGTCAAGTCAATCATAGTGATATTGTGATATAATTGGTATTGTGAAGTTATTGTTACCGTGATTCATCAGTGCTGTTATTCGTCGAAGATTGAATATTGTATGCAGACGCTGTGGGTCAGGTTGACCAAATATTATTGTTGAATTATCATTGAAAACTGATCAATAAATACTACATTAAATCTCCACTGCGCATTCTACCGCACGCTGACTATTTTGACTCTAGAAAGAAATTCACTTTGAATTCACTTCTTGGGAAATTCACTTCTTGGGCAACAAGTACCAAGTATCGTCAAATCAGCGACCATTTGGAATTAGGCGCTGAAAAATAACGAGTTGGCATGAAGTAAATAAACAAAACTTGTAATCAACAATGTTGTCACTCAAGTAGCTCTACATTCACAAGTGTGCGTCGAACCTCTGTACTTCGTTTATAAGCCTCTTGCATTGAGCACTACACTTCTCTAATAACAGTTGATATTCGGAGTGGAAAAAGGAAACCTTGCGGCAATGCTCTACTCTGAGGAATCAACTATTTGTCCTGATAACAGAAAAAACCGCAAAAGTAAAACCAAGTTTTGCGGTTTATATGCGAAATTCTTAGGAGACGGCAAGCAAGAGTGAATTGAAACGAATGATTTGTGACAAGCTTTCCTAAGGCAAGCAAGTATTTTCGGACGCACAACACCGCACGATAACAGATAATTAAACAGCAATGTCTATTTGGTTTTCTGTAGAGCATCCAATATGAATTGAGCACGAGTGTACTCTCACGTGCACGCTGTATCGAGCGAAATTCAGGACCATATGCAAAACTTTCACTCAAATTCATCAATCCTACAAATTTGCATCCAGCTTCGACTGATCTTCATTGAATTCAAATTCCGAAATAAAGGATAAGAAAGTGCACTGGAGGTGTGTGAAAACTTTTCTGATTCAACACGCTCACTACTAGCCTCAATTGGTAAAAAAGTAAAAAATTGGGGCAAATCTTTTCGCCAACGGACTCACTTTGCAGTCTAGCAATAACGCAATACCAGGCTTCTTGAGGATCAATGTTATCCTTATTTTTCAAGCAGCACTCCCACCGTCTGGTTTGCATATTCCTGTTCCGATAGTTTTTTGTTAAAGTCAAGAGTTCATTGCCTTTCTTCTATGAGGCATCGAGCACAGTTGCTTACACGCTCGAAAACAGTGAACTTTTTTATCAGCGAAGTGACATCTTGAATGATTAGTTCGAAAATTTGCACAAACAGCAATGAACATCAATCAGTATTCAGCACTAATCTGCACATTCATCACTAATTCAACACTAATCTGCACTAACAAACAGCACTAATCTCTTCAGAAACACTAATCATCACTTATTACACTACACTGACACTTGATCGAATGTGATCAGTAAATAAACCTTGGAACTTTTTGATTATACAGTTTCATCCGTTGATCAGACACATCTATCTTCATCAGGACTAGCCGGATCAGCGTCGTTCTTTGCTGTGAAGCTTTTCACATGATCGCACTATAGAGATTCGCAGCTACTTCCTTATGGTTGATTAAGGAGTGGATAATTTGAGAAATGAAATTGAAAACTTGTTAACGCTTGACGAAGCTGGTGAAGCACCAGTCTATGTTGTGCTTTGCATTCATGTTTTCTTATTGTTAGTCGAAATCAAGCAACAATACGAGAAAAATAATAGAAACTCACAATGAAATTCAATTTTGCATCTGGTTGGTCAGACAGTCTGCAAAGGAATGAGCACATGTAACTTGTTGACGAAATCACGAGTTTAAGAAGAAAGCAGAGATCCTTCAGTCGACTTCGTTAGCAGGAATGCGGCTGAAGGGGATTGCCCACGATTGGGAGTCATTCGCCCGGATTCCGTGATTGCTATGCACAAAAGAAACATGTGAATTACAACGATAAACACATTAAATCAATTCTATTGGCTCCAATGAAATTCTGACAGCAAGCAGATGCTGGTAACCAATCATAATTTTTATTCAAATTGAATTCGAACTGATCTTGCACTGCTCGATAGGTTGGGGGTATTAACTTTAAACTCTCTTTAATGACTTCTGACGGGTGTGTCATAATTCTTGACATACTAATTCACAAGTTTTCTTCTATTTTTTCTGGGTCAATATTCAAGTCGGGAATGGCTAATCAGTACATCGAAATGCATGAATTATAGATCATTTCAAGCTTTTTATGCGAATGAGTTTCGACAGATAAGCGGTAAAATCTACAATAAAGAGCACATGGAATCCATTTAAAACATAAGCATAAAAAGCATCAAGCGAAGATAAATTCCGCAAGGTTGGCAAAGGATTTGAGCTGTTGTTAACCCTACTAATTCTAAACCATCGTTAAGTTTAAAATGTTGATTCATCTATGAGGGAATCGCTCAATGTAACTGACAGCTAGATTGATGGACAGGAACAGACGTTGAATGAACGAGTCGTAACGAAATTTTGAAACGTGGATTTGGAAAGGTGACAGCTCATTAGACATATCAAGTTTGCTGATTGTTTTTCTCGAATGTGGGACTGATTAGTTTAAAAAAGTTATAGTTAGTGGTTGGATGTTTTGATTGAAATGTTGTCAGCAATCAAATGGGATGTTTGTGCGTCAGGTGAATGTTGCGTTGAAAGATGAAACCTTACGGCAACGACGAAGTTGTTTACCGTTATACACAATACTATTCCAACAATAAACAATGAACATATAAGCATTCGTTATCAATGTTCGTAAATAAGATTAGTTTCAAGCAACGAAAATATTTTCATTGCTTGAAACTAATCTGTAACGACTATACGCACTTGTCGTTAATCTTTTAATCTCAAACTTGGGTAATTAAACCATAGCCATAGCATTCATAGGAAAATATAATCGATAATGATAACGACGTAAACAACAACATTCATAATGACGACAGTGTTATACTAACAGTAATAATAACATTATTAATGATAACAACACCTCGCGATAATATCTCTTAAATTCAAAATTTCCAACTGTTTATTACTGATTTCGAATTAATCTTAACTGCTATCAATAATGTGACCTTAACTATGAATATCTTCAGTCATCTTAACCACTAGTAACAAATACAACCCAACCACCAGTAACACGGCTTACAATAATCCACAACGACACAGACAAACCGTACAGAACAAGAAATGTGCGATGAATGATTCGCCACTCTCACTTTCGATATTCACACTCTCATCCTGCTCCTATTCGTTTCCATTAATAATCCTTATGATGGCTTATATCCGATGCCCTTCTTATCGCAATTCCTATCTTGCCTTTGTTCAGTCTCCTTATGGTAACGTTGTAAATTCATGAATCATTTTCTTTTCGTATTTTAGACTCTTTTCCTTTTCGTGATTATCTAATCACGACATAATCTTCTTTAGATATTCACATGAAATATGAATCCAATTTGTCTGATAACAAGAATTACGAATGGGAAAACAAGTTCCCTTCTGAGATTATATCGGACCACAATCATCATCTTCAAAGCAACGATTAAGAATAATCGGATTTGAGCAAAAGCACTGATCCATTTGCCTGTGAGCAAAAGCACCTACCACCTCCCTCATCTAATGTTTTCATTCTGCGGACACCAAGCAGTTTTTGATGAGACATCTACATTTTGAGATATTTTCACTTGGGTTTTCAAAAAAATTAACAATATTATCAATTTGTTCAATCGTTCAGATAAGGATCGTGAGCGAAGGAAGACAAATGTGCGCATAAGAATTCCCAATATTCCAGTGTGATGAATTGCATGCGGAAACTTGCAAAACGTTGATAAAGCAATATTGTTTTATTCCACCAAAAGAGATGAATATTTATAAATTTATGTATTATTTACAGCGAATCCATTCAAGTTGTACAGCACAACGTTCACAGCAATAAATTCGAAACGGCATTGAGAACAACGAATGCATTCACAAAATCATAAGCAGTGTGATCGAAAACCGTCAAAGTGCTCAGAATGCCAAGAACACAATACGGTGTCCAGAAGATCATATTAAGTGTCAACATCAAGAATGCCTGAAATTGAACACATTTAGAACTACTGGTGACACTGACGTCTGTTCAAGTAGCGTTTCCATTTATAGCATGAAAAGTGGATGCATTCCCGATTACGTTGTGGTTTGTTCAAGTATTTTTGCGATACTGACTTAAATCTTATCAATATTTTTCATGCCAGGTTCTTATAATAAAAGTTTTCATATGTTCTCAGCCCAAACGGTTCCGTATATTCTTTGGAATCGGCAATCCGTTCAGATAGCAATGGAAAAAAGACGACTAAGGCGAGCTTTTTTGCAGTTTCAGACCATCGGCTAGATATCTAATTACTAAATCGCTCCAGTTTTCGTGCTCACTGCGGCACTTTCTTACGATTGGAATTTCCTCTTATTTCACTTTTGATTTCTCGCAGCAATGCATTCGAAAAGTAGTTTAATGGCAACAAATTCGGATGTACCTTCATACGAGTGCGTCGTCTTGCAATTGACATGGTTATTTGCCATGCAGATTTGCGATGACCGTTTCGAAATGCATTCATCAGTTGCTTCCGATACATTTGCAGTTCGTCGCTGGACAGTTGCGACGAAGCAGTCATCAACGGAGCGTGTTTGGTCGGGTCATCACCGCTGCCTGATTACAAACTTATCTTACAATTGGCGAGACTTTGGAATATTGTCGCTGCTATCGAGCACCGCCAATCATTCCAGCAAACCAGGGCGACAACTGAATTACTCCGAAAGGACGCTTTTCATGTGAAAACCAACACTTCCCAGGAATCACTCTCAAAAAAATCAATATCTGTTCAATGCTATAGCAGTTCGAGAATACTAATATTAATACAGATACTGACAGTTTATCTTACTCTCGAATTGGAGTCAGGACACATGACAACAATTGACGAATTTGCATGTGTACGTTAGTAAATCATTTAAACTAACTCATAACCAGCTTTTGATGTGGAAATATTACAGTTCTAAATGAATTTGAATGACAGTCTTCTGCGAACAACGTCTGCAAGTATTGCATCCCAACTGGAGTAGTTTTTTATTTCCAAATGAAACCCCTCCGCTACACCCCTCTATGTTGTTTTGTAATAGTAATGGGCATTGTTGTTACAAAACAACAAAGAAAGGTGTATGGAATACACCAAATATCCACCAAGTTCCTAGAGGCCAGTGGCATAATGCTGATAGAGTTTCATTATTGTGTGAAGACATTTAAATAACGTACAGTTCTCAAACGAGTTGCTCGCAGAGCAATCCGCAGGCAGCGACCCGAAATGCCGTCTTACGATTTTCGACACTTGAAGATCTCTCAACGATAGCGGCACTAAGCTTCCTGCTGAAATTATCAACACTCATCTTTCTGATCGTCCAGCAAATTCGCATTTAATAATTTCTTTATTTTCAAAGGCAGCAGTAATTTTCTCATCCTCATTCATCGTGCGATCTCACAATCAGAAAAATCGCTAGATTAATCAGTAAAACAATTTGCGCAATCTGAAGTCAATTTACTGCTAACAGGGTTTGCATGGGGTCTGAACATAAAATTTGAAATCACCTCTACTTGATGAGATATTGAAAAGTCGGTTTTTCGCGTCGGACATTTCGTTTCTCTGGCTGACTGCTGGCAGTCCAACGCCGAACTTTCTCGAGTGTCCAGTGACCTCAGCTACATTATCGCTCTTCTCGATCACATTTCGATTTTCACCATTCGGTATGGTATCAGCGCAATAACTCGGTAGCGTTAATGTCATTGAGTGTGGATACCTTCAAGGCAAACAAGTGAAACGTCTGCAAATGCTGAACAGGTGTGTTTTCTGTGTCGTCATTTGGGGCTTAGCTGAATTCTTAGCAGAATGTGTGTGCTTGGTGATTTATTAATAGCCAGGAAACCCTGGCGACTTCATTCACTGTCAAGAGATGGACGTAGTATTCAGTCGATTATTTGAAGTTTTATTTTAACTTTAGTGTCCTTAAAATGGAAACCTTAAACTTTTAGGGCAGTAATTAGCAAGTACACCTTCATTTCAACGTTTTTGCACTAAAAAATGAGCCTTTTAGTTCAAATATGATTCAAATCCGAATATTAATGGTTAGTAATCATGAATCAACAATACGGCCGATGGCGTTCCGTCGAGGAACAGTTCATCGCGACGGAGGATCCCAATCAGAAGGTCGGGGATCAAAATTGTCAGAAAATAGCGCAACCGCATTGGAAGATCGGTTTACGGTCAAAATTCGTTAAATAATTTTGCTCATGATTCGAATGAAATTTGAAATTGTATTTGAAGTGCTTCTATATGGTGACTTTGAATGGTTAAATAAGAGCTCAAATTGTGTAGCGCTATGGGAATTTGATGCACAATGATTTACAATTTGGAGTGTTTGTGACAGCAACAGCGATAGATATATGACTCAATCTCTGGAACGAACGGAGTAACGAGAAAGTAGCCAAACTGACTTTGCTAGACAGCAGCTTTCACGTCGTGCTTCATTGTGAAGACTCCTCATCAACAGCAGAATAGTCGTATAGCAGAATAATTCAATCGTATACGGAACGATGTAAATTGATAGAAGATGAAGAATGTTATATGCTGAAAGTGCCATCAGGTTCGTCCCGAAAAAATAATCGTTACGTAACTCATTGGTGCATGATCAGAAAGTGAAGAATAGTCAAAATTACACAGCAACTACGCTAAGCCGAGGAAAATCGCCAGGCAGCAAATGCTCAAATTATTATCAAACGAATACGATCACATGAAGTGTAATATCATCAAGAACACAGCACCAACATCATCAACAAATCTAGATTGATGTCGGCAGTAATGGCGAGTTCAGTGATATCTCTGACCTAGTGATGGGAACCGACTGGAGTTCGATCGGCAAAATCCGACGGATTCAGTCGGAAGTCCAAGATTCGGTCCTCGATCGGAGAATTTTGGGGTTTGACTAGAATATTGAAATTTGGAATCATTGCCGGATACTGACCGATCGGTTGGAGTACCAAATTTCGATAGGCTGAAAAGTTGATTTGACCGATCCGGACCGATCTGAACTGTGGGCCATTACTACTTTGACACAAGCGAAAGGCTATTAGACATATCGCAGCATCAATAATCATAACAGCTATGCATCGTCATCAATTTTACGGGGATTTTCATGACGAAATCTCACGATGCTGATATCATTTTAAAAAATGTAAATGAAAGACCGTGTTCAAGTGAAGAGAGTATATTATCATAATCGTTTTCCGTTTCATTGTATCCATTATCCAACGTCGATCTAGCGATCTTATAAATGGAGTGGTTCGTGGAATTCAGTTCGGACTCATCGTCGTATGAACCACCGCTATGCGCTATATGTCGATGATACCGCATTATGGTCCTTCAACAGAATTACGCGTCAAATGACAATTCATACGAGGAAGTTTACGTTTCTTGAAATATGATGGGAACGAGAATTTTGGAGTGAAAATTTTTTTGCACGTAGTGACAGATCACTTTGAAGATTTCTCCATCAGACTCCGTTAGGTTGGACGATTTTGAATACATCATCGTCATCTCTACAACTCATGAGTATCATTCCTCTCACGTGACACCAAAGCAGAAAATTCGCTATAATTACGGCTTTTTTCATTAGAGAATTACGCCGACCCAATTTTTGGCGATATCAAGTTGTTCATCAAAGGAACTGCTAACTGCAAGAAATGTGTGAAATGATGAGGGCTCTTCGATTACCATATGGAAACGCATTGTGGTTCTCCGTTAGGTGTATCGTTGGATGCATGAAAAACGACGAGTTGCGGCAACGCGCATGCAATCGCCAATACCCATGCCGCGAACACCAACTGATTGGCTGAACACCTCGATCGCTAAAAAAATCACATCATCGGAAGGAAGTTGCCTTCGTTATCATTCACTTTAAAATCCGATCAATTACTGATTTCAATTTGCTTTATTTCTCAGCCTGCAGTTATCAGTTCAGATATAAAATCCAGAAACTCATATCTATTTGACCGTATTCTCTTCAGTTAACGATTGGATTTCGTCACTGAAATGAGTGAGAATTTTGCATTAGCAGCCATAAGCACCCATAAAGACCTTGCAATTCCACTGTTCCTATTAAGGCGCACATTCACAAATCAAGTGAAAGTTAATCGAAAAACGAAAACCTGATGAACTTTGCGCAGATGAGCCGTGATGTAGAGACGGTCGGCAGCAATTAAGACTTGCATATTTGCAGTTAAATGAAGCGAGAATGTGTTTATGAATTTTGTCGCTCGGCATAAAACGTCGCCACCGTACCACTGCAAAATTGCTCATTCTAAAATTTCCGGTGAAATATGCATCGAGCTACAACTCAGAGTTGAGATAACCTAATCAGCTAAAGTGCTAAAATAAACATCAAGATTTTCTAGCAGCCAGGTGAGCGTTTATCTCAACTGAATCATTTCTAGTTTCATCTGTATTTTTCGTTTTCCCTCCCAACCAATCGAACCCCGAAAATTCCACATTTTGCACCAACTCGAATGAAGTATGCGTTCTCGGGCGGGTCTTTCCGGATCCTCACTTGCCATTCGTAAACGGTGTTATTTGTCCATTACAACCACAGCTCATACTTGATTATTTACTCTATTTTATCTCAATATCAAATTTCTTGTTTACATCGCCGTAAACATGTTATCCGAGGAGCAGATTGGCTTTTCTGACATCGCAGAAGGCCTAATTATCACACTTCGGGGAACAAAAGTCGCCTTTAATGTGGGTGCATTTTAAAGAGAAGTCATCTTTCCGGGGCCAGTGAAAATAATAAGCTTTTTCCGGATAAGGTAACCATTCGAATTAGAAACCCGTCATGAACTAGATTATGTCACTTACTACAGTTTTTACGTTGAGAGAGAACCGAAAATTCTATGGCGGTATTTCCATGGAAATTACATTCCCTTGCTCAAATACAGGCGTCTTCTCCTGGCTATGGGTTGTTTCCTCTGAATCCGTGAAAAATAACAGGCGCGGCTCATTTTCTCGGAGTAAGTGGCACAAGCGATCAAATTCAATCTCTCCATCTCAATACTCCGTAAAAATGCCTTTCCTTGATAGAATTTGAGAGACAGCACGATTTAAACATTTCATGTTTCCAGTCTACTGTGTGCAAGAATCAGTGCTTACTGCATGGAAGCTTCATGCAGAAAAATCCCACGACAAGAGCCGTGAGCGGCTTCAAAGTCGGTTTCAATCCAAATTGCAATATTTCAGTTCAAGCAATTTCAATTTAAACAGCTGTGGAGATTTTTTCGTTAAGATCAGATTTCAACGAAACTCACGTAGGTGTTCACAAAATCGAAACATAAAAATTACCTATTTATCAATCAATAAATTGATCAGATAACAGTGAAATGAATCAGCAAAAACATACGTAATATGTACTGATCCAAATGATTTGTGTCGGTGCATAAATGAAAAGAACGATCAAGTCTGCGATAGTTAAGCTGGTTTTATAACACATCAAACGTGCGGCGATTATCACGTGTCGGCGATAATTTGACTGAAACCTTAAAAATCTTTTTTCAGGGTTTCTTTAGGATCTGTTAAGATTTCAACGACATTGACTGATTCCACGAACACTTCGTGTTTCTTCACTAACCTAAACGCAAACCGTTCAGACATCTTTTCCCTTTCTCCGTGACCACAAAAACTAGAATTTTAGCGAGCTTGATTTTGTTTCAGAGAAGATTCTGAAAAGTGCTCTAACTACTTATGAACATCCCTTAGCTCAGCGGTTTTCAACCTCTCCCCTCTCCATTCCCTAAAAAATTTTACGATGTCCTCGTACCCCCTATAACAATAGTTAAAATATCCTCGCATAACTCATAGCATCCACGCTATATCTCTCATCCACTACAGTGAATGTCTGCAGTGTAAATGCATACCACTAGATCACGTTCTAGCCTTTTCAAAAATTCGAACACCCCCAGTTGAGAAAGCCTGCCTGCCTTGTTAGCTGGAGTACTGAGGACATGAACAGCTGTAACTGCGTCAGTGAACATATCAACAAACAATTAGTGATTTATCGCATTTCCGGGCTGCTCTTGGTGTTTATGTTCGAACGGCAGATTTCTTAAGAGTGATACAATGTGAAGATCACATGAGCGAACGATTTTCGGTGAGAGACTCACATTATGTTAATCACTCCTCACATGTACTCGATCTTGTTTACAACTCAAACAAGTTGAAAATTGATCATCGCATCAAATGAAATTTTCATCATTGGCTTAACCACTCACTCAGCAAAACAATCTTCAACAAGAATCTCTGCTGCCAACTTGTAAACATTGTTTTTATGCGAACTAGGATCAATTTTAATTCCCGTAAACAGTTGAGGAACCCTGATTTAGATATTCTAGATGCCGATAATAATTTCAACTGCAGTAGTGTTAAAAATAGCACCGATTTTGTTATCAATGATGAGGACGTTATCCGGTTGTACTTCAAGCAACAGCATTACACGCATCAACAATGTCACGAATTAGAAACGATGCAAAGAATTCATATGAAGTTAACGGATGCATTGTTCCGTGAATAACGGTTTAATACTGATGTACTTAATAAAGGACATGCAATACTGCATGATATCTATTTAAAGCCTTATTATAATTCCTGTTTAAACGGTATCGAATTGAGAAGAAATGACATACCTTCTTATTGTGTAAATGAATGCACCAAAACCAAGGATCATAGCCAATGTATAGATAGCACTTTCGATCATATAACTCAACTTCGCTGAATCCATATTATCAACGAATGAACAGATAAACTCTTCAACAGATAAACTTCACTAAAGTAGTTTGTTACGTTCTGATGTTAGTCACACATTCGTAAGCAAACCAACTGGAAAACAGTCATCCAGTGGTGGTGCTGTTTGGTCCATTGCAAAAACGCAAAAATCTCTGCAAAACTGAAATTGAGCCATCAATCAATCATCTGCGGCATTGTTGCAAATGTTCGTTGTCAGCTGTCTTTATCACTGATGACAACTGCGACTAAATTCAGTATAATCATGGAGGTGTTACTTTCTATCGCTATCGCTTTCACTCGACATAGCTTTGATTAATCATTCAATCCGCTTGAGAGAGGCAAGAAATGCTTCGGCTCAACGATACATTACGATAGTTGAGTGTGAAGGATGGAATGTGCGAAAGGCATTCTTTGGTAAATGATGAATTATTGGCGAGATCTATTCAAAATTAGATTGTGGTGCGATGAAAGCAAAAACCGCGTTGGGTTGCTGGTATCGTCAGCACATAAATCAAACGATTAGATAACTTTACGCGTTTATGCCATTTCTCTAACGCATAGAAAGAAACATCACATAACTCAATTTCGCTGAATCCGCTAGCAACGACTGAACACTCGTCAACGGCTCAGTGGTAATCGGATTAGCTTCAGTCAAGCAGTTTGTTACGTCCTGAAGTTAGTCACGCATTCGTAAGCAGACCAACTAGAAAGCAGTCATGTAGTGCTCTTTGGTCCATTGTATAACTCTCTCAGTTGTCGTTGAATTTTATAGGGTGAAGTACAGCAAGGAAATTAAAGATGAAATGAATTTTGAATGGAATAATGAATGAATAAACATCAAACGACCAAAAATGAGAGACAAATAGGAAGCATTTCATGAATCAGCTGAGCATCAAGCATGCATGCTGTTGATGAACTTTAAGTTTTGATTGGATTGGAATTACGATTGGAATTCGCCTACATTGCTGCTCAAAAAAGCATAGCACCAAACATTAGAGCGATTAACTTCGTCGATTAACAGTGATTAACACACACCAAACAATAACACTTCGTTCACTTCACTTTCATCTCATTAATTTCACTGATCGTTTACAATTGCTGTGCAAACGGTATGCATTCGAAGTGTTTTCACATTCATGAAAGTGGATTCTCTCATGTTAAGTATCTATTTTCGCTTATCTTGCAGACTACTTCACTCCTCACGCTTAAGCAAGTTCAAGAGTCTATTGAACTCTTGACAAATTTACAAATCGCTTCCAGTCACGAAGATTGCATGAGTGCATCATCAAAGCAGTCATGCACTCTCACGATAATGTTTGCCATTTAACTAGTCGAATAAATGTCGTGTTACCGTCCAGTTCAGAAGCCACTAAGCAAGTAATTAAGAGGCACTCATCATGCACACATTCACTGTGATATGACCGATTCAGACATGTACGATACAGTTCCTCAATGTGGATTTCATGAAGAGCATCAATATAAAGTGCATACTTGCGATTAAATTTGCGCAAAAGATTTCATTCTGCATATCAGCTGTAAAAGTCGATAGATAAACAAGATCAGAATGAATGTAGCAATTTCTTAGAGGATTTTTGATATCCACATAAAAACGTACATTCGATAGAATATCTAATTTTTACTTGATTTTGCGAGCGATTCATCAGTTGGTATGATCATTCGAAGTCAATTGCTCAACAGTTAACAAATAATTTTTGAGCATTTGATAGTGAGCAAAAAAGAAATTGGTAATATGAATTTACAGTTTAAAAATTTTGCAGTCAAATTCGTTTGTTCACTAATCAAAGCGAAATCGTGGTGAAACAATCCACCACAAAATCAATTGGAAGATCCGTAGAATGCTTCGCAATCAACATCATCGAACCCATATTTCTTTACTTGTTGGGAGGTACAATTTCGGAAGGAAGTTGCGCGGAAATACCAAAAATTTTCCAAAAATTGCGAAAACATCGAGCCGTCGATGGTTTCCGAATGATGCAGCTGGTCACTGCGATTGCATTCTGTCTCAATTGATTGAGTATGCTTGTCTGAGCACATTACGCAAAAAAAAACGGCTGCGTTGCAGGCCACTGGGAAATCAGAAATTACGTTAAGCGCTACATTTTTAATTTCTCCCCCACGGAAATTTCCCTTTTAATATCTTTCTTTTTTGATTTTTCCTTTTTAATTTATCTGGCGATCGCCGCCATTTAGCAAAAACGTCGGCATCAAATAGAATATTGCTTAGCGAAACTGACGACGAGACAAAATGCAATTTGAATCCGTGTAATAGCGACTATTGGATATTGTTGCCGACTAAATCTCGAACGTAAACATTAATTTTGCGGTAAACGAACGAAAATATTTGCTTTGTCGAGTAAACGTCATGCTTTTGTCTTAATTTCCTCCTTCGGAATCGCAATATCAAATAATTATGTCTGCAGCACATTCATCAAAACGCCTCCCAAAGGCTGACGGAATCGTCGTCTGTGCGTCATATCGAAATGAGTGATTCTCAATAGTGATTGCATTATTTTGCCTTTAGTTGAGAATGAATCATTTAAGTGTTTTTGAGTTCGACAAATATTATGCGTAAACGGTAATTCCGGCTAAACGAACGCAACATATGATCCAAGGGTAACGTTCGAACGTCCAAATTCTCATTTGCCATACGATATTCATTCTTTATTCGCCAATTTCTTATCAAAGGCAGCTGACCAAAGAATTTTTCACGCATTCAAAATGTGAATGCGCACATTTTAAGCAGCACTGTGACACGCGATTGAATAATCCTAAAAGTGCATCGAGCGAGTGCACTCCGGAAATGTAAAAACAAACGCACTCAAAACTCAATATGTTGTCATCTCCGTTCACCATTCAGATTTAATTGAAAATTCGCGGAAACAATTGCGAATTTTCAGAATGAATGTTGAGTGAACATCGAGTTATTTCGGCATGAATTACGACTGAATATTCGGTCAATTTGATTTGTTAGCGATTTGTCAATATGTTGAAAGTGTGCAGCGGTGTCATCAAATGAATTATCAACATGCACTCAAATGAACACATAATTCACGGCAATTAGGAATATCATTGGCGGCGTTGAAAAGCTGTCGGTAAAGGATGAAAAAAAAGTGAAATTTAGTGTTGCAACTAAAGCTTATATGTATCCTCCTAATGAGTTATAGCTGGTTGAATAACTAAAATTGAACAAATCACGACCAAGTTTCTGTTCCAGTCAAACTGTTCTCTTCCTGTTCCTGTTATACCAAGGAATGAGCAGAGCAGTTCCAGAGAAAAGTACGCAAAGAAAGCAACTGAACAGAACCAATGAAGGGTCTTAATGAACCGTTTCGGGTGTTTCTTCAGATTACCTTTCATTTCAAATACCGATCCATCTATTGAACGCAGTTCCGCTACACTGCAAAACATTTGTTGAACATGAGAGGTTGAATGATGGAACTGAATGCAACTGTTGTGGAGGTACCCGGCCAATCTGCCTAAAGACATTTAGCCTAACGGAAAGTTTGCCTAACAGACACTTTGCCTGACCGACAGTTTGCCTAAAGACAATTTGCCTAAGGAACAGTTTGTCCATCAGGCGAAATATTCATTAAAAAACCGTAAGTTAGGCAAGGCAAACTGTCCGTTAGGCAAACTGTCCATTAGGCAAACTGTCCGTTCGGCAAATTTTCCGTTAGGCAGTGTGTTTTTAGGCATACTATCGTTAGGCTAAATATCTTTAGGCGGATTGACCGGTCACGGTTGTGGAAAATGAGCACTGAAGTTTTCTGATTAACCACGAAACGAATTATCAGATGATGGGTGCACAATGGATGAGAATATTTTCCTCCATTCAGCTGGAGATGATTGAC